AATGAAGCTCTGCAGCAAGTGCTGGGAGCAGAACTATCAGCGAGGAGCCGGACAGACAGATACTGTGTAGGCTTCTTTTTCAGTGCAGCACAACTCTGGAAACAAAAGTTGCATACACAGATGACACTGATGTTTGTGGAGGGGGCGGTGACTCTGCCCGGTTGAAACAGGAAGATTGCAAGTTCAAGCCCAGCCTAGGCAATTTATTGAAAAAAAAAAAAAAAAAGAATGAATGGAAAAAAGCTGGGGATGGGGATGTAGTTCAGCGCAGAGGCCGGGGGAGTGGAGCTCTTCCTAAAATGCAAACCTAATCATGCCATCGTGCCCCCTCCCCTTACATCCCTCCAGTTGCCTTGGATATGGTCCAAGACGTCCAATCCTTTGGGGCCTTGTTCTGTTTCCTATTTCAGCTTTGGCCCGAACTCCTCCTCCTTTTCAGCCCCACCCCAATATCTAATTTCCTGCTCAGGTGCCCGAGTGCTCCTCGCTTTCACGTGTCTGCCAGCCTATTCCCTCTGCCGGGCATTCCTTCTCTACCCTCCTCAGCGCTGCAAACCTTTCGCCCAGAAGCCTGGCCGACAGGGCAGGATGACACTTCCTCTGCGACCCCACACTCCCTTTGCCAGCTCTTGTTTAGTCCTTAGCACAGGGCGGAGCAATTCTCTGTTGTACAGTTCGCCTGCTCGCACGACGGGGGTGGCATCCGGGAGGGCAGGGACCGAGGCCGCTCCTTTCTGTCCCTGCAGAACTCGGCGCGGCACCTGGATGCTGGATGGTGCGCGTTGCAGTTTGCAAGGCGCGAGACTGGGTGCGTAGCGAAGGGCTGGGGGCGGTCGGGCATGGGGTGGGCTCGGCACGAAGGCGGGCAGGCAGTGGCAGGGGGGTGACGGGCGTCGCGGGAAGAGTTCTGGTGTCTGAGGCTTCAGGAGGTTAATTTTCCCCTTGGGACCTGAGTAAGGATCCCCTGGGCCCCGCCACAGGATGGAAAGAGGTGGGGACAAGGTTCTCCTCCCCTTCTAGCAGCCTTGGCAGCCCTCCTCAACCCAGCTGGGCTGTTGTAGCAACAGCCCTCCCGGCGACTGGTCCAACCAATGGCAGCCAGTTCTGATGAGGTAATGCCCCGGCCTGGCAGCTCATTGGCTTCGCTTTTGTCCACGTCGGGGTGGGAGGCTGCGGGGAGCGCGGAGCCTGAGCAGGGGCCCCCGGCCCCCTCCACAAATTCGCACGTGGCCTCCCTAGGCTCCCAGGCGCGCGCCCTCTCTCTGTCCCTCCCTCCGCTCGCTCTCTTTGCTACGGGTCTGGCTGCATCTGTGTTTCTCATCTCTCTCTGCGTGCTAGTTCTGTCTTGCGTCGTCGTGGTCCTTCTGTCTGTGTGTGCTTTCTGTCTCTTTTAGGGCCTCGGCGACTCCTGACCGTCCCTGTGTCTCTGAGTGCAGCTCCTGTCCTCTCCAAACAAGGGCGCAGTGAGAGCTGCTTGACTTGCGGCCAGGAGGTGACTCACTGCCTCCAACCGCAAGGCTGGCCTGGCCAATCTCAGGGACACCTTCTTCCCCAGGGTGTTCGAAAGCTACGCTCTGAAGGCCTCGCTGAGGTCTGGGCTGGGCCTTTCCCTGGTCCAGCTCGAAGGCATTGTTCAGGGCAAAGGCAGGCCTGTCTGTGCTTTGGGGAGAGGACGGTGAGGAAGATGGCATGAGCCTCAGTAATTACCGAGGGGAGGTTAGACAACCGGAGGAACTCCCAGAAAACCGCACTGGGATGAGCAAAATAAAAAAGGTAGTTGGACTTTCACTCTGCCCTTCCGTTTTTGATCCATCCATCAACAGGACCTACTGAGTCTGAGTCTGAGTTTCTGGGGAGGGGGGCAGGGTGGGGGATTGAACCCAGGGTCTGATGCTGGCTAGACAAGCACTCTCGCCCAGCACACTGAAGTCTTGGTGTTGATGGGATTCCAGAGGAGGGCACAACCCTCTGCCAGGTGGGAGCAGGGCGTTTGGGAGGCTGGCCAGTCAGCCTGAGTGGGACCAAGCGCTAGGAGACCAGTCTGGAAGGATCCAGACATGTGAATACTTGGAAGAAGAGTTTTCACAAGGTCCCGGGGGTGGTGGGGAGCCTTGCTCAGCCTGAATCCCAGCATACGGTCCCACGCCAGGACCAGTGTGCAGGTGTCTGTGGAAAAGGTGCTGGAGGGGAGGGTGATTGGGGTGGATGAAAGGTACAGAGGCGCGTCCCATGTGTGTGGTGGTGGAGGAGACAAGAAATGGGACAAGCTTGAGAGGTGGGGGAGACGGGCAGAGCCCTTGAGCCCTACGGGCCACTCACTGCTATGGGACAATGGCAAGAAAAGTGCCCAGGGTAGCACCCGGGTTTCCGGCTTGAGCAGCTCACCATGTGGGAAGCACAGGTGGGAGATTTCCAGGGAAAGACAGCTCTAGGGCCCTTGGTGTGTGGGATAATCCAGACACTTAAGTGTGGGGTGTCCAGCTGGGTGAGGTCTGGACTGGGAAGATCTGCATAAAGGTGGTGGCTGAAGCCGAGGATGGGGACACTGACGACAAGGTTTGTCAGGTGCGGGTGGCCTTCAGAAGTTCAGGCAGACCTGGCTAGGGGTGAGAAGTCCTGAGTCCGGTCTGTACTCTGACCCTGGCTTGCTGTGTAGGTGAGAAACTCATCGGTTGCTGCTCCCTGGTCACTCAGCAGAGCCTCTCAGAGGTCGAGGGGCGTGGGTAAACTGTTTGTTGGGGTTTCTGCATTTGATTAAACAACAAAACCAAACTGTGGTTCTAGTTACTTACTACGCTCATATTTACAAATTAGCATTAGGAACGAAGAAGATTTGAGGAGTGCGTGTAAGGTCATCTGGAGATGAAAGCGCAGATCGGAATCTGTTGGAAGCTGGAGCCCTGAGCAGGGCTTCCTTCCTGGTTGCCCCGGCTCATTGCCCTCTTTACGGCGAAGGTGCCTGGCTGAGGGTGGAGGAGAGGTGTGGCCATGTGGAGACCATGGAGCTGAGCCCAGGCTGATGTGTGAAGGGGAGCTGCTTATTGCCCTAAAAGTGGACACTGTGCCCCTCTCCTAGTTCCCACCAGCCCCCAACTTGGAGTGTTCTCCTGCCGTCATAGAAGCCCTACAGACCCCAGGCCTGGGGCCTCCCGTGGAGGGAGAGCACAGTCCCGCACCTCCATCTCTCTCTCTTCAGTCATTCTCAGGTCCTCAAACACAGGAACCTTAGAGGAGCTGCCTTCCCTGCCCATGACTCGCCTGTGGGCAGGTCACTCCCCCCCCTGGTGCCAGGGTCACCATCTCTGCCTCTTCAGGCTGCAGCTTGGCATCAGGCACGAAGTACACATTTAGCCACCGTGGGCTTTAATTGAATCGAGTTGCAGAGTAGCTTATTTGACAGGAATGTGGGTTGGGGGAGGATGGTAGAAGAGGGCTCGGCCGCTGGGGCCACTGAGGAAGATCATCGTAGGTGTGCTTTGAAACATGCTTATTGATGAACATCAACAAAGAAGAATCGTATCATATTTGGTCCAGCGTTCCTGAGAGGCTTCCCGAGCAAGGAGCAGGCAGGAAATGGGATCCTTCCTCCACAACAAAATCATTTTACAAGAATTAATCACGGATATGTTCCCCTTAGCGCAGCAGTTTGGAACAAGCACCCAGAGGAGAGCAGCCCGCTTTTGGGTCTGACTCCATTGCTTTCCGGCTGTGTGAATCCTCACGAGCGACCCAGCTTCCTTGTGTATCATTAAGCGCCAATGTAAATTGCACATGAAATTATCACTCTCCTCTTGGGCTACGAGGATTTAGTGATTTATTAGATGTAAAGTATTTAAGACCCGCGAGTGCCTTGGAATCGCTAGCTTGTATTATTGTCAGTGGTGATGCGGCCTTCTGGACCCCTGCCCCAGCTGACTGCTCCCACTGGTTGGTGGGTGTGGCAGGCCTTACTGGAGGCTTCTTCCATTACTATTTAACCCTCCTTCCTCTAGTAGGGCAGGGCCTCTCAGGTTTGGTTTTACATTGGAATCTTTTGGGGAGATTTGGAAACTCGCAGAGCCTGAGCAGAATCCCCAGATACTTACATCAGGCCTCTTGGGAGGTGACCCAGGCCCCAGAGCCACCCCAGCTCAATGCCAGTGTTGAGTCAAGGTTGAGAACCTTCTGCGAGGACAGTGTCCTCAAGGTCTGTACCCAAGGCTGGCAGCATCACCCCAGACGCTTGTCAGAATGCAGATTCTCAGGCCCCACCCCAGAGCTGTTGCAGCATCAGCAACACTAGGGGCGAAGGCCTGAAGCTCGCGTTTCCACAAGGCCCCTGAAAGATCCAGAGGCAGCTAAACCTTTTTTTTAAATCCTTCTTTATGGTATGGGGGATTGAACTACATCCTTAACTCCACTGTACCTTTCTGTTTTTAAAATGTGAGGGCCTTGCTAAGTTGTCCAGGCTCGGTTCAAGCTTGCAAGTCTCCCAGGGGGCTGGGGTTGCAGGTGTGTGCCACCATGCTTAGCCACAGGCAGCTGAAGTTTGAGAATCTCTGAGTTAGAGGCTGAGAAGCACAATACAGGTTTTCTTCTCTGAAAGCCGCATTTGTAAGATAGGTGCTATATCAGTCCCAGTCTCTGTCAGCGACAAGGACCAATTCCTGCTTATTGGTAACCACGCCTTATATCACAGCCAGCTGCTTCGTACAGATTCTAGTTTAGGCCCCAGAGCTTCACTTCCACTGGCTACAGGAGGAGCTGGGGCTTCTAGGAACCCATGACCTTCCCAAGGCCTCAGAGCCCGTTACCCCAGAGTTAGGTCCCTCTGAGCTCTGGCCAAGCAGGAACAGAGTCTGGGGTCTGTTTCAGGTCCTGAGCTGTGGCTGTTGTCAGCTGAGGGACTGCAGGTCTTGCCTTTCTTCTTGGGGCCCAGCCGCACCTCTCTCCAAACGTTGCAAGGAATAAAACAGGCATGGGGATGGGAACACTTAAAAAACAAAACAAAACAACTCATCCTGAGAAATAACTGAGAGTTGCAGATTTTAAACTTGGACAGGAGGGGAGATGGTGCCCCAGGTGTCAGGCCCGAGATGCGCAGGCTTGGCTCAGGGCCTGGCGTGTAGTCAACTCTCCCACTATCATTATGACTATTGTATTTATACTTTTATTGTGATAGAATGTACACGCCTTATTATCTGGTAATACTACACACCTTCCATCTGGCAAATTTCCCCACACAATTCCAAGTACAGGGGATGCAGCAGGCTGAGCTGAGAGACTGATGCTACCCCGGGTTTCTGGGTGGGGATAGGGGAGATCCCCTGGCTGTGGAGTGAGGTGGGTCTGGGTTCAGATCTTGCCTCCGTCACTTTTCTTTGAGAGTGAGGGCTTCAGTTTCCCGCTTGTCCCAGTGGAAAGCGCAGAATGTACACTCCACAGACACAAGGGTTACTTATCTGTTGAGAGCCTTGCTGATGGCACAGGCACAGTCAAGAATCAAAGCCCGCACACGTCTAGCCCGAGACAAACATTTTCCCCATCACATGCCCAGCCAGACACGTTTCCTGCCTTTTATAACCAAACTCATTTGCAGTGAGTGATGAAAAACGGTGCCAACCAGGGCAACAGCAATACCCAGGTCTCTCCCTGATCCTGTCCAGGACCTGATGCGCAGAGGCACTGAGCATGCTCAGCTTGACCCCTTCTGGACACAGCCTCTGCTATTAGCTCAGGATGTCTGGAAAGGAGCTGTGTCCTGGGTGGTTCTCTGATTCCTGGTAGCCTCTGAGGCTTGCCGCTCTGGGAGGTCTGTGGTTGCCCGGCATTGGCAGAAACTGGATATGTCTAAGCCAAGGGTGGGGTCCCTGAAAGCCTGTTGGCTAAATCCACCTCTTCCAGGCAGCTTTCTTTGTAACACCACGTCACCTCCCTCGCTTCCCGCCTCACCCGATTATAAGTCATGGTTGCTGAGCCCCAAGGAACTCTCAGATCTGAGTCCTGGTCCTCTCTAGGGCCAATTTAAATTGGATGGGTCCAATCTGACTCCAATATTTCCCACTCCCTTTAACTGGCTATACCTATTCTGGATACCCAGGGATGATCCTGCCTCAGGGCCCTTGTATGTGCTGTTCCTTCAATGGAGGGCATAGCCGTACTTACTCATGTCAGGTCTTAGGTGGTATCACAAGTTCTTAAGATCGCAAGCCCTTCCAACACTTTGTATTTCCTCTTCCTGCTTTGCTTCGCTTTTGAGGACTTCCTCTTCACACATGGCTTATTTCATTCATCTCGTTTATTGTGTCTCCCCCACTAGAATGACCAGTCAATGTGACGAGGGTTTTGTCTGCTTTTTTCACTGCAATTTTTAGTGCTAGTGCAGGGCACTGCCACATACAGTAGTAGATGTTCCACAGATCTTTGCGGATTGAATGGATAGACCCGGCCTTCTGCTTGCCATCCAGTGCCCCATGCACACATCTCAGAGTGGACTCTAAATTCAGGAGAGGAACTGGGGGTTCACCTTTTGAGTCCCCTCACATTCCAGCTGTGTTCAGTTCAGTGTGACTGCACCGGTGCTGTGTAGCGAGTACTCACGGAGTTTTATGCACCCAGAAGGCCTGAGTTTAAGTTCTGTCACCTGCGCTTCTGCACCTCCTGAGCTGTGGCCTTCCCATCTATGAAGTGGGGGTGATAAGGTCACCTGGGGGAATCAGAGAGATGATGCCACTGAGGTGCTTACCACGGTGGCTGGCACGTAGTAAATGCTCAGTGAACGTCAGCTGCTGTTTATCGGCTTTGTGGCTTGGAGGAAGTGACCACCTGCCCTGCTTGCTTCCCAGGGTGATGGTGGAGGCAGACACAGGGGCAGGACATGTGTCCTGGCCTTGTGGACTCTGATGTCCAGGATGAGGCAGAGGGGCTGGAGTCTGAGACCCAGTCCCGGACCGGGGAACGCAAAGGGAGTTGGCAGCAGGCAGCAGGGATGAAGGCAGCCTGACAGTCCTCGCTGGCCACTTATGGCGGGAGTGCTGTGGGGTGCTGTCTGCATGAGCCTGGGCATCCAGGTGCTTCTACAGGTGGAGACCTGTGTGCAGGTGAACGGTAGCCTGGACAGGGACCTGGCCTTGTCACCTCCCACAGCCAGGGCCTAGTTAATGAGAATACGCAGGGTCACTTCTCCCTTCCTCCACCTTACCTGTTCCATGGACAGCTCGGTGGGAGAGCGAGCAGTTCAGCATGAAATGGTGTCACCGGTGGTCTTAGGGACACTGACCATAGTGACATGGGTTGTCCTCATACCTTCCTCTCTGTCAGGGCTGTGTGTCATTTGAGAATTTATGTGTGTGTGTGTGTGTGTGTATGGGTGAAATATGACACACACACACACACACACACACACACACACACACACACACACACACAGCCAAGGCCAGCCCTGCTGTCAGAAAGCTTCAGGGCCATCTACTCTCCAACACAAAGCTTGCTGTCTGGTGTCAGCTGGAAATGTCAGCTCTGTGCTGTGTGCCCCAGGCAGGGAAGTCTCTGTGCCTCTCACAGATCCTGCTCTGAGAGTCGTGGGGTCTGCCAGGCCTAGACTCGAGGCAGGAAGGAGGGCTCAGGACAGGGCTGGGGAAGCGGCATGGAAGCCTCTTCCCAGAGAATAGGGAGGCAGCGCTCCACACAAACGAGAGCAACCACTGACATTTATTCCATGATGACTGTGCCCTAGGCGCCTTGTCTCTGGCATCAGCACTTTTTAAGATAAAGGAAAAGAGTCTCAGAGAGGTCTGGAAACCTGCCCCACATCATACAGCTGGGGGACAACAGTGAAGGCATGGAGGCCCAGAGAGGACAAAAGGCTTACCTGTTACCAATGTGCGCATGGCAGAGCTAGGATTCGAACTCAGGTCTGTCTGGTTTCAGAGAGACCTGAGTTTCTCTTGCCACCATCCTCTTCTCTGAGCTCCGGGGTGAACCGCACCTGTGGGGGAGTTGGGTAGCCAGAGAGAGAAGGGTGGTTCTGCCTGGAGGGGTGAGGAGTAGAGTGAGGTGGGTGACAGCTGGGCGTGCTCCAGGGGGATGAGCACAGGGACCACATTCTGCAGAGGCACAGAGGCGTGAAGTAGGATCCCATGTTCTGGTGGTTTGTGGCCAGTCCATTTAGCGGGAAGATGACCTCCAGGTCCTCCCACCCCCACCGCAGCCTGGCTCAGAAAGCTTGATTGTCCCCATGCCCCTCTTCCCCGCTCCTGGAGGCTCCTGGGATATGGACAAAAAAGGAGCTTGTCTTTCCCGGCTCTGCTGGAGTCCTGCGGCTGAGGTTTGGTTACCATGGTGATGGGCTCCATGGAAACTCATAGCGGCCTTTCCAGGATGGGCCTGGACCCCAGCCCACCTGCTGATGCTTTGCCTCCCCTGTCCTCAGCATCCTGAAGCAACGCCTGGGTGGTCACTCCATGCGGTTTACGTCTCCACCCCTCTGCCTTGGCAGGGGCGGTATTATCTCACCTTATTTCAGTAAGATGGTGATTCCAGTATGACAGGTCCATGGGGCAGCTCCGGGATCCGTGTCAGACGCTGGACACGGAGACCCAAATTCTCTTGTATTTAGGCAGATTAGGGGCAAGTCTCCATGTGTCTTTTATGTGATGTCCTGGCTGTTCTGTCCCCGTGTCCAGGCCCGTTTCTCCCTGGAGTCTGCTGTTCTCTGAGTTCTGATCTGTTCAGCACACCGTCTGGGCCCCCCTGCACCCTGTTTCAGAGAACGGGCACAAGAGTCTTCAGCTGTGTGACCCTGAGTCTCTCCCCCTGCCTGAGCCTTGGCCCTCCCCATGCGCCCTTCCCAGGGCTGCTTGCTTCTCGGTGAGCGCATGCTGAATACTTTCTGTGAGCGCTGAACGCTCATTTATTCATTTGATTCTAATGCGTTTATTGTGTTAGAGCTGCACATACACTGCCTCGTTTTCTCTTTATGACATCTCTGTGAGGCAAAATTCTTGTCCCAACTTGTCACTGAAGACCCCAAGGTGAAGATGGGGATGACCCTGTCCAGGGCCCCACAGCCACCACGGCAGAGCCGGGAGGAGAACACAGGTTCGTCTGACACCGAAGTGCTACTCTTAGCCACTTCGTTATGTGGTCAGTTAATTTTTATTGAGCACCAGCTACTCAGTGATTTGCCTTCTGTGCTTGTGGAGCAACCACTGGGGGAGGTGGTCAGAGAAGAGCAAATAAAAATAATACCGCGTGTGCAGGTACTATGTTGAGACGGGCGACAATGGATGTGTGCGTGGGGTTCTCTCTTTTTAATTTAACCATTTTTAATGGACACACAATAGTTGTACAGATGTATGGGCTACAGTGTGATTTTTTTTTTTTTTTTTGGTACTGGGGATCAAACTCGGGTCCTTGCGCTTGCAAGGCAGGCCACCGAACCGCTGAGCTAAATCCCCGGCCCTACAGTGTGATATTTTGATACTTGTATACATTGTATAATGATCAAATCAGGGTAATGAGCACATCCATAGTCTCAAGCATTTAGCATTCATTGTTTCTTTGTGGTGAGACACTCAAATTTTCTCTCTGAGCAATTTTGAAATCTAGAATACATTATTACTAACTGTGGGGAAGTTCTTAAAGAGGGCGAGCAGTCAGGGATGTCATCTTGTAATAAGTAGCACGCAAGAAGGAGATTGAAGCTGCCCGGTGTGGTGGCCCGTGCCTGTGATTCCTACTTTCTGGGAGGCTGAGGCAGGAGGATCCAAGTTCTAGCCCAGCCTGAACAATTTAAGTGACTAATCATGACCCTGTCTCAAAATCTCAAAACAAAAACTATAAAGGGCTTGGGGTGTGTGTGTGTTTGTGATCTGAGTGGTGGGTTTGGTGTGTCTCAGGGCTGGGTGCATCAGGGGAATCTGGTGAGAGTGGGTGAGGGGGAGTGGGCGAGATGAGCCAGAGAGGCCTGCAGGGTCCACATCCCACAGAGCAGCTGCGCAGGGAGGGAGGTTTATCCTAAGGGCAGTGGAAACCACTGGTAGGGGAGGGAGCAGGCCTGGTTCACACAAGACGCTGCTGCCCTGGCTGCCCGGGGTGGGGGAATAGGTAGGAGAGAGGTGGTGGCTGCAGAGTCAGCAGTCATTGGGGCTGGAGATCTTGGTGTCTTTGGCTGGAGTCGGAGCTGCTGAGTCTTGTGCGGTTTGGACGCGGACAGAACTGGTTGGTGGGCGGTAAATAGGGTGGAAAGGAAAGGACAGAATAGAGGGAGGGTCTCTCCCTGATTCTGCCTCGAGCAACTGATGGGAGCTGATGCTGCCTCCCGGGACAGGGGAGAGCCAGGTGGTGCAGAAGGCGGTGCCCTGTGGGCCGGAGGCTTCTGGGGGAGGAAATGTGTGGAGCCCCAGAGACACCTGAGTGGAGGTAGGAGCCTGGGGTCAGGGCAGAGACTGGGCTGTCGACACAAGGTTGGGAGTTCACAGCGTGGACCTGGCATTTACAGCAATGGGGCCGGGGAGCAAAGGAGAAAGTGCAAACAGGATGGGAGGAGAAGACAGGGGAGAGGAGAGAAGAAAGGAACAGGGAGAGGAGAAAGAGGAAAGGAGAGAGAAGAACACACTAGGGCGCGCCCTGGACTCTGGTGCACCCATCCAGCAAGCTTTGCAGGCGGCACTGGCACCAGCGCTGGACAGCGGAGTGGGTCCCACAGGTGCCGTTTAGCTGCAGCAGGGTTCCGTGCTTGCCCATCAATGTGAGGTGCTTGGGCAGGGTCAGAGGAAGGCACTGCCCTGGGAGGGGCAGCTGCGCTGGCCTCAGGCTGCCGTGTAGGCAGCAGGGATGAGAGTGCAAGAGGAGGAGGGAGAGCTGAGAGGGAGGTGGTGGGGCCCAGGCTGGACACAGAGTAACTGAGGTGGTGGAGCAGAGACTAGGGAGCAGGCTCTCAGGACCTGCAGAGGCTCGGGGCTGGGGCAGGCGCGGGGCCGTGTGGTAGCAGTAGCTTCTTGAATTGCTCCCAGTTCTCATCTTGGAAACCCCTGGCTTCCTGGAGTCAAGGGCTTGGGCTGGCGCACGGGGTGACGGGGTGAAGCCTTTGGGTTTTTTTTTGGTACCAGGGATCGAATTCAGGACCTTGTACTTTCGAGGCAAACCCAGTGCCACTGAGCTGAATCCCTGCCAGCGCTTGTTTTGATTTAGCTGTGACCTCCTGACCTTGCAAGCCGAGGGAGACGCACACGGCAGCGTGTGCGTGTGTGTCGGGCCACAAGTCTAATCTTAGAAAGTGCGCAGCCGGAAGTCTGGGAAGTCCTGAGCTGGGTAGCACTTATGAGTGGTCCTCAGACAGTCATTGGCCAGCTGCTCCGAGCCTCAGGGTCTCACCTGGAAAAAGCTGATAATAACGTGTGGATACGCGCTTTGCCAGCTCCAAACTCTGCCCGGGCAGGAGGAAATTTGAACAGTGCCCAGGCTGTGAGTCTCTGTGTGAAAGGAGATTCTAGTGTTGGGGAGAAAGAGCAGAGACAGGAATGAGGGTGGTAGTAGATGGTGAAAATAGATCTGAGGAGTGACCTGGAGTGATTTTGACTTTCATAGTTTTGCAAATATTATTTTCTGATTTCAATTGTTTTCTATGTATAGTTAAATAATTATCTTTTTTAAAAAATGGTTTCTCTATGTAAGTTGGATTTTTAAAACTTTCTGCAACTTGGAAATACCTACAAAAACTTAACAATTTGCATGCAAACTGACCTAGAAATTTCCTACTTAGAATTTATTCAAAGAAAACAATCATGGGGCTGGGGATTTAGCTCAGTGGTTCTGGTGCCTGCCTTGCAAGCACAAGGGCCTGAGTTCCAAAGGGCCCAGTACCACACCCCACCCCCCAAAAAAGTCATGGATGTGCTAATGATTTAATTGCAAGAATGTTTTTGAAGTGTTGTTTACTTCATTTACTTATTGCAGTATTGAATCCTGGGCCGCACATATGCTAGGCAAGTGCTCTACCACTGAGTTACATCCCCAGATCTTTTTATTTTGATATAGGTTCTCACTAAATTGTCCAAGCTAGCTTCAAACTTCTGATCCTCCTGCCTCAGCCTTCTGAATAGCTGGGATTACAGATCTGTACCATGGTACCTGGCTGTGAGGTGTTACTTGTAATAGCCAAAAAACAAAGAAAGCAAAAGAAAGAAAAAAGAAAAATCTATACAAAAATAAGTGAATAGACATAGCCTTTCTTTCTCTTTCTGTTTATTCGTAGAATGAATTTTTATTTTTTTGGTACCGGGGATCGAACTCAGGTCCTTGTACTTGCGAGGCAGGCATTGGAACTACTGAGCCAAATCCCTGGCCCTATAGAATAGATTTTTAAGTAGCCTTTAAAATATGTTGTAGAAAGTAAATTATTAGAGTCATATTTTTGATATATTATAAAGCAGGTTTTATATGGCTACAGTGTAACTCAGTTTTGTTACCAAAAATGTGTGTGTCTGTGCCTGCGTATAGAGAAATATTTGAAACTTTTGTCACAAACTTTATAACTTCATTGCACAACAATAACAACAAAGTCAGTTAACACGTCTCCTTTGCAGTAAGCACCCCTGCGCATAACTGCTGCTAGTACGGGTCTGACTTTGGCTCTGCCCTCAGAGGAAATGGAGGCAGCTGCTCACTGACTCATGCTAATCCCACAGGATTTTGATGCTCATCGTGAAACCCTACCTCGTGCCTGTCACTTCACACACGTGTGTCCCAGCTATGTTTGAGTAACTGTCAGAGAGGCTACAGCCAGGTGCCACCCATTCAGAAAAACAATCTCTTGCATTTTGACAGGCTTCGGGTCAGTTTCACTCCCTTGGTGTTGCAAACTGAGGTCTAAGATCTCTTGATGAACCTTGCGGAGAGGGGGCATCACTGACCAGGTGAACCCTGTTAGCGGGTGCGTAGGGATTGTGTCCTCCACGTGGGGATTCCTAAAAGTGGGATATAAACCTTGACACTTGGCCTCTTCGGTTTGTCTATAAATGTTTTCACATGTTATCCTTATACTATCCTATAGAAGCTACTGATTTATGTGACTAGAATAGGGTAAACATAATCAAGGGAATCATGAGGGAAGGAGGGCTAAGGATAGAAAGACAGGACAAAAAGAGTCAAGTCAGTGCAGGAAACAGGCCTCAAGGACCTGAGTATCTGCTGGAATAGAATGTCAATTTTGCGCTCCTCTTTTTCGCTGCCTATTTTCAGCATTTAATCCAATTTGGAGCGAAATGTAAAGAAATATAAACCTTAGGTGGAAACTGTCACCTTTTTCCTAAGCTCAGCTGTTGTTAACATCTATGCAAATAACTTTTGGATTTTCTTTTAAATCTCAGGAGCATGGTTCCTTTCTCACACTTCCACTGCTCCTAGCCAGCAGAAGGCTGATGATCTGCCCCTGGGGAGAGGAGTCCCAGTTCTCTGTGGTGCCCAGGGGGTCAGGCACCCAATGAGGAGAGGTCTGATCTTGGCTGCGTGTGTGCAGAGCGTCCTGGTAGAAAGGCCACTGCTCAGTTATGTCAGGGAAGGCTGAACTCTCCCTCCGTAGTACAACCCAACATTTTTGTGTGTTGTACTCTTGGTCCCCATGTAGGACCCTGGGCAGATCCAGCGTGTGCCCACTATGGTGATGATTATATTTGGAGTGAGATGTTACC